TTTTTTTTTTTTTTTTTTTTTTTGATTACCTCATCTTCTGAAGCAACAGCACCTCTCCAGGTTTTCTTTGTAATGAGTTCACTCGCATGTGTGGGTGCTCTAGTTTCATCAGTGCAACGTTTTATAGTACTATAGTAAATAGATTTTTTTTGTGAGTCTATTGGCATCTTCTGTGTTGACGACTCAGTTCAGTGAAAAGAGATGATTCATCTTAAAATATAATAATTTCTTTTTAACTGTTGCGTTGTTGATGTACACCTTTAATCCAGATGGATCACATCAGAGAGTTTGAGTTGGTTGCTTATTTGTGTTGCTTTATGAAACACTTCTTTTCCTCTTTTATCAAGAAGTTCACAAAACGTTTTTATGCCTCTGATTATGAATCCATAGGCTGAAATGATATTGGTGCAGTTTTATGATCCAAATCAGATGCAGCTGCCTCCTGTGGTCGATGATCTCATTCACATACATCCCATGAAAGAAACAGAAGGAATGAATTAGTGAAACCCTGTGTGTGATTCATTTCTAGCCACAACAGAGTACCGCAGATGATGGTATAGTTGTTGTTAAGTTTTAGCACCATTTTTGTTTGTCTTGTTTTCCTCTTAGCATCTTTTAGTCATGTAGTATAGTTTATTTCTCTAAACTTGACCAGTGCTTTTGGTTTTCTGCAAGTGGAAGGAGTTTATAAAGCTAAGATGCAGTTTTATWTAATCATATCAGATTTATCTTTATTTAAGGCATAAATAATTATTAGTATTAAATCATTTTGTCCACTTTAAGAGTCTGAAATGAAGCAGTAAGTTTTATACTATTTAAATGTTACAGGAAGCTTTAAAAAATCTAATTTTAAATATTAAAATGTATATTTTTTTAATTCACAGTATCATGGTAAGTGGCTGCATCAGCACAGCCATATTTGAGATGCATGTTAACACCCAAACTCCACACCCTTTTCTCACACATGCATCAACTGGCCTCATGTTACAGTCAGCTAAATATATACACACATTTTTCAAACTCCTTGAATRCCATTTAAATCAGATCAATAAAACAGTAAAGCTTTTTTTTAGCTCTTCTGTAAACATCAGGTACTAAACAAAGAACATCTTTAATTATGATGACTGTATTTTTTCAAATTACTCATTAAGAATGGGGCTTGTAACTTAAGATAATACTTTTAAACTTTTCTGTGCCTCCACRTTATTAAAAACAGTTTCTTTGACAYGATTCTTTTGTTTGCCACAGTCAGCGTGGTTCAAAATCCTTTAATCTGTAGCAAACCATTTTAAAACATAAAACTTTTTCTCAAAGGAATTGTTGAAAAATAAGTTTTCATTCCAGATACTGAAATGGTTGTAGAGTTAAAATCTGGGTTTAACTGACCATAAAAACAAACACTGCTCCCCTCCTACTCCAACCCTCCTGGTCCCCCCCCAAGCCCCCTAAAACCCCAAAGTTCTTTGATCCCTGAGAATGGACCCTTCCTCCCATATAAAAGTATGTTTTACCTACCGTTTAAAAGCAGGGCGATGAGAAGGGAAGCAAAAGCCAACATTTTCCAGGGCCCGTTTGTTCTTTGTACAGATGATGCTGCCATTCTTGTCCTGAGTGCTCACACACACACACACACACACACACTCACACACCAGTGTAGAGAAAAGAGAGGGAAAATGAGAAAAGGGGCAAAGCTGCTTGAACCGGAGCAGTTTAGGGTTTCCTCTAACCCAGAGTGGGACAGGGTGGATAAAGCACCACTTGTGTCCTGTCACTTTTTATATAGCCACCCCCCCCCTTCCTCTCCCATAAGGCCCAGCCCTACACCCCCCTATATTCCATAGTTTAACCCAACCTTTGTGCCCCCACCCTTTCTTTTTTTAAAAAAAGAGAGCTGGAAGGAGAGAGGGTAATGAAGTCTTTTTGGGATATTCTGTTTACATTCTTCAAATATTTTTGATGTTTAAATTTAGTTGGTTGTAACAGCAACTTTAGTTCTGGACTCAGCATACGAAGCAAAGTTTTTGGGAGCTCATTGTTTCACCCTCCATCACACTGATTAGTGTCTTCTTGAATGTGAACCCTGTCTGGTTGGGAGCAGTAATCCACTTCACAATAAAAGGTGACGGCAGACAATGGGCTGTGACATTCCGGTTCTTAATAGGCTTACGGAGATAGACCGTGGAGTAGAATATCAGAACCGACACAAAGGTGCAATGCACTGTTATGCTAATAGTATTAATCCATTTCAGCGGCTGGAAGCCCCCACCGCTCAGTAAGGCTATCAATCACCAGCAGCGTTTGTCGGGACACCGCAGGATCCGCTTAAACCTTTCACACTTCCACACACCCCCAGAAAGTAGAGGATCTTTGCTTTGCTTTTGTTTGCTTTTGTGCTTGGACTTCACATGCTCCCCATAAATTACACATCTGGAACCACTGGTGAAAGAATGCTAAATGAGTTGTAAAAAAAGAAGAAAAAAAAAAGTGGCCACGTTTTGGTGCAAGAAAGACGCAACAGCAAGCAGAGAAACATGAGCAAATTAAAATTTATTTTTGCTTTCTTTAGAGACGGTCATGTAATTTGAAACCAGTTCTGGTCCCCATAGTCCCGCTTTGGCCCCGTCCTTCCCCCTGTTTTCATCACATTTCCACCCCCACCCCTTTCTTTAACACCAAACTTCTAGCAAACGTGCTGCTCAAACTGCAGGGGGGTTAGGTGGGCAATTGACTTCTCACTGTGATTTGAGATGAGCTTAGCTGAAAGCTCCAAGGGAAGAAAAAAAAAAGAAAAAAAAAACTGGTTGTGTGCTTATTGTAGCTGGAGATGTACAGCAGTCCTGTCTCCCCTGTAATACTTTAGAAAAGAACTTCTGCTGTTTCAGGTCTTTTGTTTTTAATTATCTTTTTTGTTGTTGCTTCTCAAAATATTCTTGTAAATTTGGCACAGTTTCCAGAGCATGTTCTTTAACACAGATACTGGGGAAAAAAAATGACCCAACTCTGCAGTAACTATGCCAGGCCTGTATGTGGCACTGTAACACTGCCACTGAAATAYATCAGAAACAGGAACCAAGATGTGGATCTTTATTTTGTGGATCAAAATAACTTTGTCTGAGGTAAAGAACAAAAACTGTTATCATATTATAAAGCTTGTGAATTTTCTAATTGTGCATCATCTTTAATCTACTAGTGATTATTTTTGTTCTTTGGTCTTTTTAACTCAATGTGGAGAGTAAATATGTGTCTGTAAATGCAGCCAAAATCATCTTACTTTCTAATAAACTACAAGATTATTATTATTTTTATTCTGAATTTTTGTTTTGTCCACAAGGCACAAACCAAAGAATATTTCKGTGAGGACCTTATAAAAGGTCAGTCTGGAAAGCATTTCTTCTCCTGTATAAGCCTTGTTCTGGTTGAATTAGTTAACACAATGTAAACCCACCTTGAACATTAATTTCAGCTTTTTAAATTTCAAAGTAATCTTTCCTGTTTTTTCCATGAAGTTATGTTAAATCAACAGATATTTGATGCTGAGAGTTATTTTTTGTCATCAGTGCATATTTTAGCTTAGCAGTTTTTGTTGTTGTTTGTTTGTTTGTGTGTACACACCTCAGTGTATATGTGTTAGATACTTTCTGAACTCTATGATGGAGCATCTCAGGAGAACATCAAACTGGCTCCGTATCTAAAGAACAGCCTGGTGCTTTTTTCTTTCTGACAGGGATACCCCTTTAGATTTACCTTGAACTTTAAAGCCACAAGAAATCCCAGGTTTCCATCTTACAAACATACATTTTTTTAATTATTATTCATTTATTTTATTGTAAACTTCTTTTCTTCTATTCTTTAGTTTTCATCTTATGAGCTGCCAATTCAAGTAATAATACGGAAAATTCACGATTCGGTTGATTTGATAGACTATTTTAGTCTCACGGTGCAATATTTTTTGATGCAAAAAAGGCCAATTTCCATGCCCTTCTTAACTTGTAATTTATTGAAATTAATTATGAACGTTTGTTTAACCTCAAAAGTACAGTTTTTAAATTAAATGTTGCTGAAACAGCAAGTTTCAGTTGATCTGTGCTCAACTATGCAGCCTAGGTGGAGTAGTCGAGCACAGATCCACTGATCCTTCATGTTCAGAAGACAATTTGATAAAATAAATTTTAAAAACCTGTATTGTTCAATACATRGTGAGTATTGAACCTAAAGCACGGATTGAACAATTTGATACAAATAAATGTATCATTGCACCCTTAATTTGCATATAAAGTGCTTAAGTTTAATCTAAGTGAACTAGTTTTAAATGGCAAATTCTCATATTTTAATACATCTAATCATTTGCTTGTGGTTTTTAGTAAAGGCGACTTACAAATRACAAAGTTGAACAAAGATTCTTGTTTCATTAAGAAAAAAGGAGGTTTCAGACCTGAACAGTTTCTCATTCATCTGATGCCAGCTCATCATGTTCATGTCTGAATGAGCACTTTGGTGTCGTTTTGTTGGAATTTCCCAATTTTTACAAACCATGGCCCACCCAAAGATAATAGAGCATTAACGAAAATGTGACTAAGACCCTTTTTCAAACAGTATTTAAGTGTAATGTCTTATTCAGTTTGTTAAATATATGATTCAGTCATTCACATTTAGACATTGTTTACATTTCCAATAATRTAAACTAAGTCAGGTGCAGCACAAAAAAATTGAGCAGTCCAACCTGACATGTTGCAAACTCAGCTGATTTCATGTCTAGAAGCTGAAAAACCTTTTATCTGCATGTTTTCAGTGTTTGGAGGTAATTTATAAATGATGATATTTTATCACCTTGAGATAAACACCTTTTCCTTCTCCTCTGGTGTTCTTATTTTTGGTCATTTATTTGTTCAACACRCAGACAAACTCAGCCTTAAAGCATCATGTTGTAATGCAAAATTTATGGAGCTTTGAAACTGGGAGCTGTAAATCCCAGGAAACTGGGTGATTGGTTTAGATAGGAGGGAGTTTGTCTTGAAGTGATTTCATGAGAGGGGAGCTGAGGAGGAGGGAAAATTGAAGCAAATTTTGGGAGGTGGAGGAGTGCGAGGAGGAGAGGATGTAATTTCAAACGACAGAAAATGATGACCATTACCTCTTTGTGTTGAGCAGCCAGCTCCCTTCAAATGAGCAGGAAAAAAAACAAAAGAAAGTGCCAGACCAATGAAATCACCCTTCTCAAAACAAAATGTGCTTCAGGGATGTCCCTGTGTGGGTTCGCTTTACGGTCTAAAGGTTCAGTCCGGGTTTGCTTTATATGTGACCTGCWGCAGCTGCAGCCTGGCCCTGATGTTCCGAAACACACATCAAAAAACTGAATTTGAATCTGGTTTRTTGCCAAGTTTACATAACGAGCAATATGTCCTGGTGAGTTTGTGCAAAACCATCACAGTATAGAAAACAAAAACAATGACGTATATCTGCTTTTAAACATGTAGACGCAAAAATTAAAAATAAAAAGTATAAGATAGATTTAAAAGTATGTATTTTTTAAAGCCTTTTCCCCTTTTCTGCATCAGGGTTTTCTCATCCTCCTAACTTTTACAACAAACTGAAATGAGTTGTGAGAAAATGAATTGTCTTTGTTCCTGCTTGTTATAACACATGTGACCAGAAGATGGCATTAGTAAACTGTAACTGGACACAAACTCTAYATGTCTACATATCATTTATCTCTTCTTTTGTTCAGATTTATTATGTGCCGCTTTTCTGTTTTCACATATTTTATACAACTGTGATCAATAAAGCTAATTTTATTCTTAAAGTTGGGAATCGTGAATTTAGAGAAAAATAACGGCAAACTTAGGATATTCTGTGATCATGAATGATTTATTCTAAGAAGTTGAGAGCTTTTATTCTGATACTCAGTAAAATCTGATGTCATCCTTACACTTGGCTTCAATCAAGCCAGTTATTTTATTTTATTTTATATTTTTTTAAGGGTTAAGATCATTAATTATCCTGACTTTCTTATATTTGGCCATTACCTGCTTTTGTGCCAATTTTCTCTTAATTTTTTTTTGTATAAAATATTGTTCATCTGCTGCAGATGGTTTTTTAAACGTGGCATTCCTGTTGTCCTCCACATGTACACTTCTCCTGTTTCAAGGTGCACGCTGCAGGCAACATGCATTCCTTCAAGGAAAGCAAGATCTTTGTTTATCCAGTGTTTGACAGGTTATTTGTTTGCTGTTGAACGCGGTAATATTCACAGAAAAATCTGTCCTTCACCGTTTCACACGGTGATACAACTTCGTTGCGAGTAAGAGCCGTGTCCAGTCTGAATAGATGTTTTCACATGAATAGAAGGTCCAAGGACTTCTCAGTCCAGCATTCACTCCACAGATCAGCTCACAGTTTGAATTATTCTTTATGATCTGAAAGAACCTGTTTTTTTTTTCTTCTTCGTCTTCTTCCCCCTGAACCAAATAATCCGATCAAAAAGCAGGAGTTGTTCTACTTGAAAGTGTTGCACAGGTACATTACCTGATACATACTGAATAATGCGCTGTAATTACGTCAGCCTTGGGACGCGGCGTGATAAAATATTATGACGCTCGCCGTGATTTGAGAGACGAATCCTTTCCGATGGGGTTAGTAGCTCCATAAAGCTGTCTGATTTCATCCCACCAGAGTCTATCAAGAGGCTATCCTGCAGGGTTTTTTTCCAGCTGTCAGTGGAAATGTCCCGAGTCCTAATGATCCTCTTTCCTGTGTGTGTGTGTGTGTGTGTGTGTGTGTGTGTGTGTGTGTGTGCTGGAGAGGGGAAAGCTGGGGGGAATTGTGTCGGTACTCTGACAAGCAAAGAGTGAAGAGAGGTGAGACAGAGGGGGGTCGGAGCCTGGCAGCTGTACAGAAGACCCTTTGACACGCTGTTGACACCCTACCTAAATCTGACAGGTTTCTATGAGTGGGGAGTCCTGGCTGTTCGTATATAACCCCTCCGACACCCCCCACCCACCCCACGCTCCTCTGCTCTGCTCGCCACAGAAGCCCCAGGGCTGCGCATGCATGAATTATGGATTCTTGCTCCTCGTGGCAAACGTTCAGGAGGACCCTATATGCTGCTCACACGCCGCGGCAAATATTGTCAAAGTATGAAAGCCTGTTTACGACACGGCTTCATGTCTCCTCGCATTTTTCTTTTTCGCAGTATTTCGTTATTATTGCTCAAGGTCAGTTTGTCCGCAGCGRCAGGTATTCAGCTCTCTGGTGAAAGGGCGTGAATGTTTAACACTGTACGTTCAGGTGATTTAAAGATGCAATAAAAGGGATAAAGGAGTGCAAATCACCAGCTGCTTTTTATGTCAGCTTGAAACTGAAATCGTTTCATGAWGAGAAATGACTGTTTTGATCAAACCTTGTGGATAAAATCAAATAAATTAGTTTTTATCCAGTGGATAATGAAATGAAACACACAACACCTAATGCTAAACTTAGGTCTTGCCCAGTGTGTAGTTTTTATAGTGTGTCTTGTTACGTCAAACCTTAGCTCAATATCTGTAAAATTGATTGAGTTGATTGCTCAGTGGAAAGTCTTGATTTCCCACATGTAGGAGAGGAAACCACTTGATCATCATCCAGTCACTGTCTGCATTCGTCTTCTGGCCTCATGAGGAATAAAAACAAGTTGGGAGTGATTGTTCTGTAAAGGATTTACTTGGGTTTGATCTGGAAACACTTCTGGCCCCTTTTTGTTTTTTTTCCTGAGGAGCGATTTCCAAGAATCCAACACATGAATTTAAATCCAACCAAATGCACGAGTCCATCTCTGCCAAATGGGACAAATTTATAAATCTGTTTTTGTTTTGTTTCATTTTTTTTCTTTACATTGGATCTATTCAATTTAACACACGTTTCTCAATTCACCTTCACAATTTTAGTGTTGAAAATGAAAATGAAAAACTTGAACGATCACGCTAGTGTTTGGCTTCTTTAAAGGGGCAATATTATGTGTTTCTCAGGCACACATTTAAATACTATACCATAATAAAGTATCTCTGTCACCTTCAGTTGTTGTTAACATGCTGTTTTTATGTTTAAATAGAAAATAAACTTATCTTCTCATCACTTCCTCTTCTAAACGCCTTGAAATTGGCCTCTGTCTCTTTAAGAACCACCTTTCTGTCTCGCCCATTTCAGTGTGTCTGTGTGTGTGTGTGTGTGTGTGT